GTCAGGTTCCTTATCTCTAAGCATGGTCTGTTGGTATAATTTTAGGAGCTTTTCATGGTGATTAATTCTATACTCCAATTTATTAAGTTATTCAAATTCAAGTATATATACAATTTAACTTTTTTCATTCATGTTAATTTAGGAATGTATAAATAAAGCAAATAACAAATGAATACTTGACGGTACTTCAATATGCTAATGATGGAATTTTTTGTAAGTTTTTACAGTAAGAAACATTTTTCAAAATTTACCTGGCAAACTAAGTTAAAACTACTAACAGATATTTTATAGAATTTAGATAGAACTCATAAATTCATGATGCACGGAAATATTTTACAAGATAATTGAAAGCAAATACCTAATCTTAATTCGGTAATGATTTTTTTTTAGTACTGTAGTAATACTAGAATAGTTATCATTTTGTTGACGAAGGTAGCTCAATTTAAGTAGGACTGGCCTGATTTATAGTTTTTATTTACTAGAGATATGAATTCTTCAAAATCCCTAAAAACATGTCATATACTTTGTAACTTTTACATATTTTTACTTCATCGTATACACTAGGTTATTTGAGATTTATAATCAAAGAGAAAATAAATTAACTTATCGAAATCATTATACTTGTCCATGTTAAAAAAAATCTTGACCTTCAATGTAAATTACTAAATTCAAAATATTTAAGGCACCCATCTCATAATATTTAAGGATATCTCACAGTTCACAATAATATTTGATAACGTCTAATTGATAAAATTCGAGAACGTCCAACCTATGATATTCGATATTTAAATTTAGTGTTTAGATACTGTAACCATTTGTTGTACTCATTACAAAAATGATATTATCTCTAATATCCTCACATTTGTCGGATTTGTGGGATTTGTCACCATTTCTTTTTTTCTTTCTGTAAACTGGTTCATCACCAGCAAGTTTACTATTGAATGTAATACATTCAACATATTCTATTTTGATGGCTTCTGAAATGTTGTAAACTATATCCCCACAACCATTTGTATGGTCCAATCATAGCTCCAACGAATGATATAAATTTACAAAAATGATGTGTAGTATAAACATCCAAGAAATATACATATATAGATGCACGTTAACAAAGAACAAATAGGCCGGACTAAGGGTACTAACCCAAACCAACACTAGCACTAATATTATCAAAAACTACCCCCATCTTATGAAATACTTGATCCATATGAAGAAACGCATGATTCGAATTAAACCCATTCGGAACACTTTTTTTTTTATTCTTATGGGAATATTTTCGATCCGTGCATGGGAATATTTACTGGCCCATCCTTTTCAAAATTTCTGCATTGATGCACCTTTAACAACGTCAGGAACATTAATTCCATTATTCAACATTGTCTTTATCCTGGTTTTCTGGTATAAATGGAGTATAGAATTAATCACCATGAAAAGCTCCTAAAATTATACCAACAGACCATGCTTAGAGATAAGGAACCTGAC